TTTAATTAGCTTCGCACAGAACTATTTATAGGAGCTCTATGGGCACCCTTTAACAAGGGCAATAAGCCATGGAGGTACAATCACCCTTTAACAAGGGCAATAAGTCATGGAGGTACAATCTCCCTTTAACAAGGGCAATAAGTCATGGAGGTACAATGATGCCCAACTTTGACAGCTTGCGTCAGAGGCGTAGCTAGGGGGGGGCGGGGGGGGGGGCGGCCGCCCCGGGCGCCGACCCTATGGGGGCGCCAAAAGGGGTGGGAAAAAATTTTTAAAGCTGATTTTATGCTGCAGTTTTGAATTATAAACTGTCTAAGTTAAAAAATGTAATGGCTACACGCCTTTACATACTGATTTAACTGTTTTCTACCTTGATTTCTTAATGTAAAACATATACTCTTAAGAAACAGTGACCGGCAAAACCGCTTTGAAGCTTTTCCTAGATGGGGTGGTGGGCGCTTTTTCGAGACTTAAAACGGAAGAATTTACACTAGATTGTTGAGTCGATAAACGTTGCCACTATTAAAAGAAACCAATTGTATTAAAACGTATTGTACGATTGTCGAACTGTAAAATACGTTAGTGACTTTTATCAAGATGGTGCAGGGGGGCGCTTTTAGGCTAAATAAAATAGCAAAATTACACAGGATTCTGAGTAAACAACCTTTAGCTCTCAGAAAGAAACGAATTGTACTGTGCATTGTATAATTGTGTAACATTTTTAAAAAAAAGTTAGTTACGTTAAAAACCGCTCTACAAACTTTGTCCAAGATGGTTGTGATGAGTGTGTGTGGGGGTGGGGGGCGCTTTTTTCGCTAACAAAAATCGCAAGTATTTGTACTGGATTGGTGAGCAGATAACTCTCTTAACACTTAGTAAAGAAACCAAGTGTATTAACGCGTAATGTACAATTTCAATAGCCAGTTTTGTTAAAAAAAAAAAAGACGCGACTAGTTCTTTGTAAGATTCTTACGATTCTCTCAACTTCAACGTGAGAGATCAGATATTTTTGATTAATTGCATTACATCTTACCTGGATCACTGAACTATATTAAAGAGAACTAAATATCACGGATTCTTGAATCCCTAAGCCACTAACCACCACTTTTTTCCATGCTCTTATTTCATTCTCCACTGTCTGTAATCTAGCTCCAAGCCATACAGTAAAAGAGACCACATTTAGTTATAGATCCTGATTGAATTTTTTTGACAATGCATTTGAATTCTACATTTTCTTAGAGTGTTAAAACGCGTTTTATTGCTGCTGATTAAAATCAGAACGCCATGTGCTATCATTAAATTGATTGTTACTGCTTCTTCAATCAATACAATTAGTTCTGCATTTGTTGTTGACGTTGTGCGAGCAGTGTTTCTTCCAGACTTTTTTCTCCGGGGGGGCACTTGAAATTTTCGGGGGGGGGGGGGGGGGGGGCGGTAGACTTTCTTCGGGGGGGGGCGGACACTGTTAAACGTATATATTTTCTATACATAGATTATATAAATTTCATTTCGTTCGGCGGGGGCGGTAAATTTTTTTCGGGGGGCTTCGCCCCCCCCCCCCCCCGAAGAGATGCCTGGAAGAAACTCTGTGTGCGAGAAGGCAGGGCAAATCTGCGAAATCCAAGACTACGAGCTGTTAACATCCGTTGGATTCCAGTTTGTTTTCTCTAGCTTGTTTTGTCATACCATCAACCAATCAACGAAATACCCATGTCGTATTCCAATGTGAACAATAAATATTTCTGATAACTTCTTCTTGTATGTCACTTGTGTGTCCTTACTCTAACACACTTCGAATCCAACTATGTACCATATCACAACAGAGATCGTTCCATAGCTAGAACATAAAAGGCTGGTCTAAACATATTAGCGTTGGCTACAAACTACCCTCTAACTCAGATCAGGCTTATTTTTTTTTTACTGACATTACTAATCTTTCGCAAAAAAAGTTAAACGCATCTTAATGGGAATTAAATTGTCGTAAAGTTTTAAGGAATGAAAATCATACAATGTAATTATTAAACCTTGTCCGGACTGTAGCATACACGCTTACACACACGCTTACACACACAAATACACTCTTACCCACACACAAGCTTATATATAAACACACTATCACACACACATAATTATACACACACACATGTATATATATATATATATATATATATATATATATATATATATATATATATATATATATATATATATATATATATATATATATATATAAGCGGGGGGGGGGGCGCCAAATTGAAAGTTCGCCCCGGGCGCCGGGAAGGGTCGCTACGCCTCTGGCTTGCGTAGATTTAATATTTTTCTACGCAATAGTGTGTTGGTGTTGCAATAGTGTGTTGGTGTTACTTTAGAACAATCACTGCAATAGTAAACATGTTTTGTTTTTACAAAACCACTTTCAATGTACACGAAAAACATTATTTATTTTTAAAAACTCATTGTTTTTTGTTTGGTCGGATTCTGCCCCCCCCCCCCCCCCACCCACATTGCGGGGTTCGGCGGCATGGTAGTTCCGCCCCTGCTACAAACATGTATCTCACACAACAGTGTCACGTGGCAAGTGCCGCACGTCACGTGACCGCCAGCAACCAATAAAAAAGTAAAAGTAAAGTTTCCCTTTCAAACCTGACGGTCTATGGGGCAAGTGAAGTAGAGTTCACTTGTTTCTGTGACCTCGGCATATGAAGAGATAGTGTGGTCAGCACTATGCCCAGCCGCCTTTTACTTTCCCTAACATGAGTTAGGTACCCATCAGAGTTGGGTGGACTCAGGGACGGTCTGCTGATTTGAACCCTGATTCGAACTCGAGACTTACGGGTTAGTAGTCCAGCTCTCTACCGCTAGACCACTCCGTCCCATGCCAGCAACCAATGGTTGTGTGTAAACAACATGGCGGCACCACCTGTCGCAGACGACACTGTTCACCTGTCCCGTCCACAACAGCCAGGTTTACAGCCGGCATTTGGTGGGGCGGGAGTTCAGATCACCCCCTCCCCCCTTTTAAATTTTTTTTTCTCTCTCTCTGCGTTGAAAAAGTAGTTTTTGTGTCTGTCCACTTGCCGTATGTATTTCCCGTCCTATGTGTCTGTCCACTTGCCGTATGTTTGGGTCTGTCCACTTGCCGTATGTTTGTGTCTGTCCACTTGCCGTATGTTTGTGTCTGTCCACTTGCCGTATGTTTGTGTCTGTCCACTTGCCGTATGTTTGTGTCTGTCCACTTGCCGTATGTTTGTGTCTGTCCACTTGCCGTATGTTTGTGTCTGTCCACTTGCCGTATGTTTGTGTCTGTCCACTTGCCGTATGTTTGTGTCTGTTCACTTGCCGTATGTTTGTGTCTGTCCACTTGCCGTATGTTTGTGTCTGTCCACTTGCCGTATGTTTGTGTCTGTCCACTTGCCGTATGTTTGTGTCTGTCCACTTGCCGTATGTTTGTGTCTGTCCACTTGCCGTATGTTTGTGTCTGTCCACTTGCCGTATGTTTGTGTCTGTCCACTTGCCGTATGTTTGTGTCTGTCCACTTGCCGTATGTTTGTGTCTGTTCACTTGCCGTATGTTTGTGTCTGTCCACTTGCCGTATGTTTGTGTCTGTCCACTTGCCGTATGTTTGTGTCTGTCCACTTGCCGTATGTTTGTGTCTGTCCACTAGCCGTATGTATTTCCCGCCCCATGTGCCAGCAGACGATGATGCCGTGCCCCCTCTCCCCCCAGAACCACCTGCAGGCCTGCCGGTTTGACGCCGTGCCCTGCCCCAACAAGTGCACGGCTCACCTGACCAAGGCCAACCTGGACGACCACCTCGAGTACCTGTGTCCCAAGCGCTCAGTCGTCTGCGACTTTTGTCTGCAGGAGTTCAGTGGCGAGTTCATGGATCAGGTAGGTCAACCTCAGGTCAGACTTAGGTGCAGGTCAAACTTAGGTGTAGGTCAACCTCAGGTCAAACTTAGGTGTAGGTCAAACTTAGGTGTAGGTCAAACTTAGGTGTAGGTCAACCTCAGGTCAAACTTAGGTGCAGGTCAAACTTAGGTGCAGGTCAAACTTAGGTGTAGGTCAAACTTAGGTGTAGGTCAAACTTAGGTGTAGGTCAACCTCAGGTCAAACTTAGGTTAGGTTAACCTTAGGTCAAACTTAGGTGTAGGTCAAACTTAGGTCAAACTTAGGTCAACCTTAGGTGTAGGTCAACCTCCGGTCAAACTTAGGTTAGGTCAACCTCAGGTCAACCTTAGGTGTAGGTCAAACTTAGGTCAAACTTAGGTCAACCTTAGGTGTAGGTCAACCTCAGGTCAACCTTAGATGTAGGTCAGTATCAGGTTTAGGTCAGCATCGACCAGCATTTGATTCGGCTAACAAATCTATGCTAGAGCTAAGAAATCTATGCTAGAGCTAAGAAATCTATGCTAGAGCTAAGAAATCTATGCTAGAGCTAAGAAATCTATGCTAGAGCTAAGAAATCTCGCTAGAGCTAACAAATCTATGCTAGAGCTAAGAAATCTATGCTAGAGCTAACAAATCTATGCTAGAGCTAACAAACGTGCTCCACTGTCCGTAGAGCCACGCCGGCAACTGCCACAAGGAGACCATCTGGTGTGAGAACAAGTGTGGCGCCAAACTCGAGCGCCGGTACCTGGCCAACCACCAGAAGAACGAGTGCCACAAGAGGACGGTCGCCTGCCAGTACTGCGGCAAGGACTTTGTGCAGGAGACGCTACAGGTTAGTTGTCTGCCCTCCAAATGTCAGGCTAGAGTTGTCTGCCCTCCAAATGTCAGGCTAGAGTTGTCTGCCCTCCAAATGTTAGGCTAGAGTTGTCTGCCCTCCAAATGTCAGGCTAAAGTTGTCTGCCCTCCAAATGTCAGGCTAAAGTTGTCTGCCCTCCAAATGTCAGGCTAAAGTTGTCTGCCCTCCAAATGTCAGGCTAAAGTTGTCTGCCCTCTAGATGTCAGGCTAGAGTTGTCTGCCCTCCAAATGTCAGGCTAGAGTTGTCTGCCCTCCAAATGTTAGGCTAGAGTTGTCTGCCCTCCAAATGTTAGGCTAGAGTTGTCTGCCCTCCAAATGTCAGGCTAAAGTTGTCTGCCCTCCAAATGTCAGGCTAAAGTTGTCTGCCCTCCAAATGTCAGGCTAAAGTTGTCTGCCCTCCAAATGTCAGGCTAAAGTTGTCTGCCCTCTAGATGTTAGGCTAGAGTTGTCTGCCCTCCAAATGTCAGACTAGAGTTGTCTGCCCTCCAAATGTCAGACTAGAGTTGTCTGCCCTCCAAATGTCAGGCTAGAGTTGTCTGCCCTCCAAATGTCAGACTAGAGTTGTCTGCCCTCCAAATGTCAGACTAGAGTTGTCTGCCCTCCAAATGTCAGGCTAGAATTGTCTGCCCTCCAAATGTCATGCTAGAGTGTGTTTGTGTTGTGTATAAGGCGTGCATCACGTGACGATGACGTCATGAACTGTTTTCCAGACCCACCAGTACCAGTGTCCCAGGTTTCCGGTCACGTGCCCCAACAGATGTGACCCGGCCAAAATCCCCAGGGAGGAGCTAGAGCTTCACGTGCAGGAGTTGTGTCCCTCAGCCACCATCTGCTGCCCTTTTAAAGAGGCCGGCTGTAGGCATAAGGTGGGTGACACAAGGCACTGACAGTAGACAGTGACACAAGACAGTGACAGCAGACAACAGTCAGTGACACAAGTCTGTGACACAAGTCAGTGGCAGTAGACAGTGACTGTAGACAGTGACAGCAGACATTGAGGGCATAAATTGACGTCTGTCTGCCCCTACAGTGCCCCAGGTACGGCCTAGAGCAGCACATCAGTGAGAGCATGAAGAGCCACCTGGAGCTGACCTGTGACCTGGTCAAACAGCAGCAGGCGCAGATAACTCAGCTCTGCTCAACCCTGCAGACGATAACACAGACCACGGATGGCGTCTTTATTTGGAAAATCAGGTGAGCAATCCTAATCTGTATAACCTAAGCCTAATCTGTATAACCTAATCCTAATCTGTATAACCTAAGCCTAATCTGTATAACCTAAGCCTAATCTGTATAACCTAAGCCTAATCTGTATAACCTAACCCTAATCTGTATAACCTAAGCCTAATCTGTATAACCTAACCCTAATCTGTATAACCTAACCCTAATCTGTATAACCTAAGCCTAATCTGTATAACCTAACCTTAATCTGTATAACCTAAGCCTAATCTGTATAACCTAAGCCTACTTTTATGTATTCAAAATGTAACCAGCTTGAATGAATGCGCTAAATGAGATGACAATATTGGGTGTCACATGACATTGTCATCGGATGTTGACCTCCGTCTCAGGTTACCGCCATCTGTCAGAGAGAAGTGGGTCAACTTGACACAGACGACATCAAGGGAAATAACAATTAGATCAGGTCTGGGCAGAGGCGTAGCGAGGGGGGGGGGCGGGGTACATATGTCCCCGGGCGCCGACCGTAGGGGGCGCCAAAATGGGTTGATCAAAATAATTATATGCTTATTTTAGCTGCAGTTTTGCATTATAAAAATTAAAAAATATATGGGGGGGGGGCGCCAAATTGAAAGTTTGTCCACGGGCGCCGGGAAGGGTTGCTACGCCTCTGGTGCTGGGTCGAGGTTTGTCACCCATGGAAATAACAATTAGAACAGTCCTGGGACAAGGTTGTCATGAATTACTGAGTGTGTCATACCGTTGGATGAGAGTTGTTCCCCCTTTATCCCTAGCAACTACAAGTTGTTCCCCCTTTGTCCCCAGCAACTAAACGTTTTCCCCTATTTATCCCTAGCAACTAAACGTTTTCCCCCCTTTGTCCCCAGCAACTAAACGTTTTCCCCCCTTTGTCCCCAGCAACTAAACGTTTTCCCCTATTTGTCCCCAGCAACTAAACGTTTTCCCCCCTTTGTCCCCAGCAACTAAACGTTTTCCCCCCTTTGTCCCCAGCAACTAAACGTTTTCCCCTATTTGTCCCCAGCAACTAAACGTTTTCCCCTATTTGTCCCCAGCAACTAAACGTTTTCCCCCCTTTGTCCCCAGCAACTAAACGTTTTCCCCCCTTTGTCCCCAGCAACTAAACGTTTTCCCCTATTTGTCCCCAGCAACTAAACGTTTTCCCCTATTTGTCCCCAGCAACTAAACGTTTTCCCCCCTTTGTCCCCAGCAACTAAACGTTTTCCCCCCTTTGTCCCCAGCAACTAAACGTTTTCCCCCCTTTGTCCCCAGCAACTAAACGTTTTCCCCTATTTGTCCCCAGCAACTAAACGTTTTCCCCTATTTGTCCCCAGCAACTAAACGTTTTCCCCCCTTTGTCCCCAGCAACTAAACGTTTTCCCCCCTTTGTCCCCAGCAACTAAACGTTTTCCCCTATTTGTCCCTAGCAACTAAACGTTTTCCCCTATTTGTCCCCAGCAACTACAAGTCCAAGTCAATAGAGGCCATGTACAAGAGCAGCAAGGAGCTGGTCAGTCCGCCATTTTACACCTCCCGTTTCGGCTACAGGGCCTGTCTCTCCGTCTTCCTGCAGGGCAACGGGGCGGGGGAGGGCAAGTTCATCTCCGTCTACATCAAGCTGCTCCCCGGGGACTACGACAACATCCTCGACTGGCCCTTCTCGCTGCCCGTGTCCTTCACCTTGCTGGACCAGCACAGCGAGGCGGCCATGAGGGCCAACCTGTCCGAGAGCTTTGTGCCAGAGGCCGGCTGGAAACATTTCCAGAAACCTGTCAAGGCACAGGACTCGCTCGGCTTCGGCTACCCCAAGTTCGTCTCACACGAGGTACTTCGGTCACGTGACTACATCCGGGACGATTCGCTCATCATCAAGGTCAGTGTAGACAACGCCAAGTTCAACAAACCCTGAGCCCATTGCGTCCTACTCGTCTGCTTCTAAATGGTGGAGAATTGTGTCATAGCTGTGTGACGGCAGCTGTGTGACGGCTGTGTGACAGCTGTGTGACGGCTGTGTGACGGCTGTGTGACGGCTGTGTGACGGCTGTGTGACGGCTGTGTGACGGCTGTGTGACGGCTGTGTGACAGCTGTGTGACGGCTGTGTGACGGCTGTGTGACGACAGCTGTGTGACCCCTCAACCTGCTGTGACCAGCAACCACCAAACGCCATCAGAAGGTCCCAGCCAACACGGACTTGTTCTAGTCATAGCAAAAGTCAGCTACACATCAGGTCAACTCTACACATCAGGTCAACTCTACAAATCAGGTCAACTCTACACATCAGGTCAACTCTACACATCAGGTCAACTCTACACATCAGGTCAACTCTACACATCAGGTCAACTCTACACATCAGGTCAACTCTACACTACACATCAGGTCAACTCTACACATCAGGTCAACTCTACACATCAGGTCAACTCTACACATCAGGTCAACTCTACACATCAGGTCAACTCTACACATCAGGTCAACTCTACACACCAGGTCAACTCTACACATCAGGTCAACTCTACACATCAGGTCAACTCTACACATCAGGTCAACTCTACACATCAGGTCAACTCTACACATCAGGTCAACTCTACACATCAGGTCAACTCTACACATCAGGTCAACTCTACACATCAGGTCAACTCTACACATCAGGTCAACTCTACACATCAGGTCAACTCTACACACCAGGTCAACTCTACACATCAGGTCAAGTTTGGGTGCCATCTCAGCTTGACAGCTACATGGGGTGGGGCTGGGGGGGGGAGGAATAATTGGTTTGGTTACAACTGACCTAAAGTTAGCCACTTAGGTCAACTGTTATAATATGTGATAAAATGTAATTTATTTTTTGAATATTTTGTTCATCATAACTCCGTGTGTTTACAGTTGTTTCAATAATTTGTCTTGTTTCATCATATTTCTCTATCATTTCACTTGATTCTATATGCAATCTTATAACAATCCTACTTTCACTTTCAGCTGTTTTGGTTGAGAATTAAATATTTGATACATTTTCTCTCATATTTTTTCATCAACTTTGGGGGGGGGCGTCACATTCGGTGGGGAGGACAAAATTTGGGGGAGGGGGAGGGTGACACCAAGAAAAAATGTTTGAACAAATACAGAGGAAAATGTTTTCTTTCAGTTCAATTGATGATTAATTAGACCAATTGATTATTAATAACAGAATGTTCTTATTAAGTGCACAGATTAAAACTACTAAACATTGACACCTATTTACGTTTCTGTCGGCCATTTAGTGAGTTGCCAAATTGTTTGAAACAATTAATTGATTAAATCAGTTTGATGCTTAAATTTGATTTTTTTTTAAATGGAAGATGTTAAATTGGTAACAATTGATCAAGAAATAATACACTCATAAAAGGTAAAGAGCTTCGTAGGGATTCTAAACTTTTCAGAACTAAAGTGTGCAGCTTCAAAAGTTTGAAATACACCCAGAAAAAAATGTAAAAATTAAAATTAAAAATATATATATATATAAAATTATATATATATATATATATATATATATATATATATATATATATATATATATATATATATATATATATATATATATTTCAGCATATATATACATATACATGAACACAATATACAGTGAGCCCACTGTGGGGCTAGCACATATTGTGTGCATTATAGCCCACATCACGCGTACAACTAAAATGATAAAATCTTGACCGTTGTGTTAAAAAATTATTTAATGAATGTAATCAATCACGTCCCTAAAGCGCGCCAAAATGTTTGAAATGTATTTGACTCAGTTATTTGACGAGTGATCTCCCCTGTGAAATCTCCAGGAGTTGCCCGCCCCTGCTGTCTAGTCAGTGATGACGTTGGACCAGGACAGGATGTCCATGAGACCGCGAAGTTTGGTCCACCACTGGCGTTTGGGCAGCCTCTTCCTGTAACAAGCCCACGTCAATTACATGACCTGATTACATGGTGAAATCAAGAGTTAATTACACGGTGTAATGAGATGGCGACTCACTCGAAGTCTGTCTGAAGCATGAGCTCATCCACTGGCATGTGCTCGGCCATCTCCTTACGTGAGCAGTACACGACCACAGTAGTCGGCGATTTGGTGAAAATTTTATCTGGCAATACAACAACAGTAGCTGTACTCACTCTTCATTGTTCTCTCACCTACTTTAAAACTACTTATCAATGTTCCATGACCTACTTTAAAGGTACTCATCAATGTTCCATGACCTACTTTAAAACTACTTATCAATGTTCCATGACCTACTTTAAAGGTACTCATCAATGTTCCATGACCTACTTTAAAACTACTTATCAATGTTCCATGACCTACTTTAAAGCTACTCATCATTGTTCCATGACCTACTTTAAAGTTCTCACCTTTATCTTTCCCGCCATTGGCCTCTATGGCGTTAATCATCCAGTCCGTACACCGGCTGCCGGCTCTTATGCCGGCTGCACGGTCGTAAGGTGTGGCCTTGTACCCTTCCTGGATGTGACCCAGTTTTGTCTGCCTGAAAATGAAATCCAAACCCTAAGCCATCAAATACACCTGGGGGGGGGGGGGGGGGGGGAGATTGGTCAAGTGAGGGGATTAAGTGAGAGGATTAAGTGAGAGGATTAAGTGAGAGGATTAAGTGAGAGGATTAAGTGAGAGGATTAAGTTAGAGGATTAAGTTAGAGGATTTAATGAGGGGATTTAGTGAGGGGATTAAGTGAGGGGATTAAGTGAGAGGATTTAGTGAGGGGATTAAGTGAGGGGATTAAGTGAGGGGATTTAACGAGCCAAAGATTACCTGGCGGTACAGGATGGCTTCCCTTCCTCGTTAAAAATTCTGAATATGAAGTCTGTCGTCAGGTTAGGGTTAGCGTTTTCGTTTCTGTTGGCAAGTACATGCTAGAGTGAGGTCACGAGCGCCGATTGATACTAATTAACCTTAATTGCGATAAGCAAGAGTGACGTCACGTACCTGATTAGGAGAGCCTGCTCCACGCCCGAATATTCGAATTTGTGTTTGATGGTGTGGCACAAGTTCTGTGGCAGAAGGTCAAGGTTAGACGCAGTTTCTTGTGGACACATTTACTTGTACAAATGACACATTTACGTGTACAAATGACACATTTACTTGTACAAATGACACATTTACGTGTACAAATGACACATTTACTTGTACAAATGACACATTTACGTGTACAAATGACACATTTACGTGTACAAATGACACATTTACGTGTACAAATGACACCTTTACTTGTACAAATGACACATTTACTTGTACAAATGACACATTTACTTGTACAAATGACACATTTACTTGTACAAATGACACATTTACTTGTACAAATGACACATTTACTTGTACAAATGACACATTTACGTGTACAAATGACACATTTACGTGTACAAATGACACATTTACGTGTACAAATGACACAGTTACTTGTACAAATGACACATTTACTTGTACAAATGACACAGTTACTTGTACAAATGACACATTTACTTGTACAAATGACACAGTTACTTGTACAAATGACACATTTACTTGTACAAATGACACATTTACTTGTACAAATGACACAGTTACTTGTACAAATGACACATTTACTTGTACAAATGACACATTTACTTGTACTAATGACACATTTACTTGTACTAATGACACATTTACTTGTACAAATGACACATTTACCTGTATGTCCCGTACTGAAAAATTTTCTTCCTGGATAAAAGCAAAGTCAGCTCCTGCAGCTATGGCCGCCAGCGTTGCTAGGTAACCGCAGTTGTCTCCCCCCACCTCCACGATGTAAACACATTTCTGTATACTGAAGGCGGACTGCTTGAGGTCATCACAGGCCTGCGGACATTCAAGGGTCGGGTCACTGCTGTCCTGCCTGTGTAGACTGCCCCACCCCACCCTGCTACATACTGCCCCACCCCACCCCCACCCAAGGGTTGGGTCACTGCTGTCCTGCCTGTGTAGACTGCCCCACCCCACCCCCACCCAAGGGTTGGGTCACTGCTGCCCTGCCTGTGTAGACTGCCCCACCCCACCCCCACCCAAGGGTCGGGTCACTGCTGTCCTGCCTGTGTAGACTGCCCCACCCCACCCTGCTACATACTGCCCCACCCCACCCCCACCCAAGGGTTGGGTCACTGCTGTCCTGCCTGTGTAGACTGCCCCACCCCACCCAAGGGTTGGGTCACTGCTGCCCTGCCTGTGTAGACTGCCCATCCACCCCACCCCCACCCAAGGGTTGGGTCACTGCTGTCCTGCCTGTGTAGACTGCCCCACCCCACCCCCACCCAAGGGTTGGGTCACTGCTGCCCTGCCTGTGTAGACTGCCCCACCCCACCCCCACCCAAGGGTTGGGTCACTGCTGCCCTGCCTGTGTAGACTGCCCCACCCCACCCCCACCCAAGGGTTGGGTCACTGCTGCCCTGCCTGTGTAGACTGCCCCACCCCACCCCCACCCAAGGGTTGGGTCACTGCTGCCCTGCCTGTGTAGACTGCCCATCCACCCTGCTACATCCTGCCCCACCCCACCCCCACCCCCCTGTACTCACCTTACAGATCTGGTTGAGAGCAGTGTCACAGCCGATGCACATGACTGCCCCCACCCCCCTGTACTCACCTTACAGATCTGGTTGAGAGCAGTGTCACAGCCGATGCACATGACTGCCCCCACCCCCCTGTACTCACCTTACAGATCTGGTTGAGAGCAGTGTCACAGCCGATGCACATGACTGCCCCCACCCCCCTGTACTCACCTTACAGATCTGGTTGAGAGCAGTGTCACAGCCGATACACATGACTGCCCCCCCCCCTGTACTCACCTTACAGATCTGGTTGAGAGCAGTGTCACAGCCGATGCACATGACTGCCCCCGGCACGTTGTTGGCGATGGTGGCCGGCACGACGGCGACCGGCACACACAGCTCCTCGTAGTGCTCACGTGCATGGTGGATCTGGCACGCGCTCTCGTAGGCCTGGGGTTTAAAAGGGTTTATTGGGTTTACATGGGTTTATTGGCGTTTACAGGGGTTTATTGGCGTTTACAGGGGTTTATTTGCGTGTACAGGGGTTTATTTGCTTTTACATGGGTTTACAGCTGTTTACGGGGGTTTATTGGGGTTTACAAGGGTATATTGTGGTTTACTTGGGTCTACGTCGTCAACACGGGTTACAGGGGTTTCAGTGCAGTGTGGGTTCCAAAAACATGGTCTACAAACATTCCATCTACCACAGAAATTATTTGGCACTTCTTACCACAACCATCTCCCCCCCCCCTCCACCACACACCGAGTAACCTGACCTCAACCCTCTCCCCCACCACACACACACACCACACACACACACACACACACCACACACACCACCACCACACACACATCACCACACAAAAACCACCATGCACACCACCACACACACACACCACACACACACACACACCACACACACCACCACACACACACCACCACACACACACCACCACCACACACACATCACCACACAAAAACCACCATGCACACCACCACACACACACCACACAGACACGCCACACACACACCACACACACCACCACACACACCACCACACACACCACCACACACATCACCACACAAAAACCACCATGCACACCACCACACACACACCACACACACACCACCACACACACCACACACACACACACCACCACACACACCACCACACATACCACCACACACACTACCACACACATCACCACACAAAAACCACCATGCACACCACCACACACACACCACACACACACCACCACACACACACCACACACACACCACACACACACCACACACACACCACACACACACACCACCACACACACCACCACACACACCACCACACACACCACCACACACACACCACCACGAAGCCTGACCTCAAATCCCCCGACGATGACCAGACCGGAAATGTCCAACTCGTTGAGAGCGTCAGCGATGTTGCCAAGGCCGATCTCCTGGGCCGTTTTCCTTCAACAAGAAAACACACTTTTAGAATCTTTACGGCAACACCACTACAAAACCATTCAGTACACACTTTTAGAATCTTTACGGTAACACCACTACAAAACCATTCAGTACACACTTTTAGAATCTTTACGGTAACACCACTACAAAACCATTCAGTACACACTTTTAGAATCTTTACGGTAACACCACTACAAAACCATTCAGTACACACTTTTAGAATCTTTACGGTAACACCATTACAAAACCATTCAGTACACACTTTTAGAATCTTTACGGTAACACCACTACAAAACCATTCAGTACACACTTTTAGAATCTTTACGGTAACACCATTACAAAACCATTCAGTACACACTTTTAGAATCTTTACGGTAACACCACTACAAAACCATTCAGTACACACTTTTAGAATCTTTACGGTAACACCATTACAAAACCATTCAGTACATACTTTTAGAATCTTTACGGTAACACCACTACAAAACCATTCAGTACACACTTTTAGAATCTTTACGGTAACACCATTACAAAACCATTCAGTACACACTTTTAGAATCTTTACGGTAACACCGCTACAAAACCATTCAGTACACACTTTTAGAATCTTTACGGTAACACCATTACAAAACCATTCAGTACACACTTTTAGAATCTTTACGGTAACACCACTACAAAACCATTCAGTACACACTTTTTCATTTAGAATCTTTACGGTAACACCACTACAAAACCATTCAGTACACACTTTCATTTAGAATCTTTACGGTAACAGTTTGGTTGCTAGTACTACGACAAAACAATCAAACACAACATGACAACATTTCTCCCAGATCATCACCATAGCAACCAGACATCGAAACCAACACACTGATCACCATAGCAACAGTACGTACGTGTTGGTGCCCAGCAGGGAGCCTCCCTTACTCGTCCAATGGTGGACATCATTCCAGACCACGGCCTTGACCTACCGACAAACAGCCAATCAACACGGTCATGCATCACGTGATATCTTAGCCTAGCGCTCAGTAGGCAGCTAAATAGGTATTACGTCACTCCCTACTTCACTTAGCCTAGCTGCTACCCTAGCCTAGCTGCTACCCTAGCCTAGCTGCTGCCCTAGCCTAGCTGCTACATTAGCCTAGTTGATGCCCTAGCCTAGCTGCTACCTTAGCCTAGTTGATGCCCTAGCCTAGCTGCTACCTTAGTCTAGCTGCTGCCTTTTTATTGCCCAATTCTTAATCCCCCCCCCCCTAACCCGCCCCCAGCGGTCGTGGGATCGAGTCCCTCCAGGTCTCACCTTCCGAGCACTGAGCCCCTCCCAGCTGTTGTAGACAAAGACGGGCTCGTACCCCCGACTCACACACACGCTGACAAAGCCCCGAGCCACGGCGTTCATCCCACAGGCAGGCGACCCCACGTGGAGCATGGCGATTCGGTAAATTTTCTGCAGAGGCAAATCTTACATTCTGTTGCATTTCTTGTCTTTGAATTTATTTCCAATTTTTTTTTAAAGAATAAGATTGGAAACGTTTTCCAGAGTTAAAATGGTAAGCTTGATACGTTGGTATTTTGGCCGTTATGTTAATTAGGTTAATTATTAGCCGTTGATTAGCAGAAGAGTCGCGAAGCGGGGGCGGGGGTGCAGAACACACCGGGTGGCACAATTTAGAGGGGTGACACAATTTAGAGGGGTGACACCATGGCAAAAGCTTGCTAAATTGCTAAATATATGGAAGAAATTTTTGTCAGGTCAATTAAGGGTTAATTACAGTTAATCCCCTGTTTTAATAACTGATTATAGACAAACATCTTTACTATTAGCTGTTCACACTTTAAAACTATCACCCGGTGGGGGGGAGGGGGTGACACCAACTGAAAAATTGACAGAGGAAAGTCGGTTTTGTTGAGTATCTGAAATAACTGACAAGTCAATCAACGACAAATGGAGGCCATTATGCAAAATAAAGTGGCGTGACACCAATTGCAGTTATATATAGGCCTAAGTAATCCTGTATATATATATATATATATATATATATATATATATATATATATATATATATATATATATATATATATATATATATATATATATATATATGTGTGTGTGTGTGTGTGTGTGTATGTGTAATTTATTCGTGGAGGGGGAGGCGCCATTAAGTGCCGCACCGGGTGACACCCTACCTAGTACCTAGCGACGCCATGGACTTTTATTTTCAACTAGAGACTTTTTTCCCGCCAAAAATTTAATCGCAATCAAGTTAAAAAATTTCAATGCTAAAGGACGGACAAAAAAAAAAAACAGCCAATGGCCGTCGAGCTTACTTTTCTTCTCGGTGGCATCAAGCTTGGATGTGTGATGACCTTTGACTGGAGCGCATAGATGGCCAGGTTCTTTACGATTGGTCTGAGAGATTGGGATTTCTTGTATTGCTATTGGTGTTGCTTAATGACCCCTGCCCGTAAACACCCCGCCTTTAAAGACTCTTACTCTAACAGACCCCCACCCTACAGACCCCACCCTACAGACCCCACCCTACAGACCCCCACCCTACAGACCCCCACCCTACAGACCCCCACGCTACAGACCCCCACGCTACAGACCCCCACCCTACAGACCCCCACCCTACAGACCCCCACCTTACAGACCCCCACCCTACAGACCCCCACCCTACAGACCCCCACCCTACAGACCCCCACCCTACAGACCCCCACCTTACAGACCCCCACCCTACAGACCCCCACCTTACAGACCCCCACCCTACAGACCCCCACCTTACAGACCCCAGACCCCCACCCTACAGACCCCCACCCTACAGACCCCCACCTTACAGACCCCCACCTTACAGACCCCCACCCTACAGACCCCCACCCTACAGACCCCCACCCTACAGACCCCCACCCTACAGACCCCCACCCTACAGACCCCCACCCTACAGACCCCCACCCTACAGACCCCCACCCTACAGACCCCCACCTTACAGACCCCCACCCTACAGACCCCCACCCTACAGACCCCACCCTACAGACCCCCACCTTACAGACCCCCACCTTACAGACCCCCACCTTACAGACCCCCACCCTACAGACCACAGACCCCCACCCTACAGACCCCCACCCTACAGACCCCCACCCTACAGACCACAGACCCCCACCCTACAGACCCCCACCCTACAGACCCCAGACCCCCACCCTACAGACCCCCACCTTACAGACCCCCACCTTACAGACCCCCACCCTACAGACCCCCACCCTACAGACCCCCACCCTACAGACCCCCACCTTACAGACCCCCACCCTACAGACCCCCACCCTACAGACCCCCACCCTACAGACCCCCACCCTACAGACCCCCACCCTACAGACCCCCACCCTACAGACCCCCACCCTACAGACCCCAGACCCCCACCCTACAGACCCCCACCATACAGACCCCCACCATACAGACCCCCACCCTACAGACCCCCACCCTACAGACCCCAGACCCCCACCTTACAGACCCCCACCCTACAGACCCCCACCTTACAGACCCCAGACCCCCACCTTACAGACCCCCACCCTACAGACCCCCACCCTACAGACCCCCACCCTACAGACCCCCACCCTACAGACCCCCACCCTACAGACCCCCACCTTACAGACCCCCACCCTACAGACCCCCACCCTACAGACCCCAGACCCCCACCCTACAGACCCCCACCTTACAGACCCCCACCTTACAGACCCCCACCCTACAGACCCCAGACCCCCACCCTACAGACCCCCACCCTACAGACCCCCACCTTACAGACCCCCACCTTACAGACCCCCACCCTACAGACCCCCACCCTACAGACCCCCACCTTACAGACCCCAGACCCCCACCTTACAGACCCCAGACCCCCACCCTACAGACCCCCACCTTACAGACCCCCACCTTACAGACCCCCACCTTACAGACCCCAGACCCCCACCTTACAGACCCCCACCTTACAGACCCCAGACTCCCACCCTACAGACCCCCACCCTACAGACCCCCACCCTACAGACCCCCACCTTACAGACCCCCACCCTACAGACCCCCACCTTACAGACCCCCACCCTACAGACCCCACCCTACAGACCCCCACCCTACAGACCCCCACCTTACAGACCCCCACCCTACAGACCCCCACCCTACAGACCCCCACCTTACAGACCCCCACCTTACAGACCCCCACCCTACAGACCCCCACCCTACAGACCCCCACCTTACAGACCCCCACCTTACAGACCCCCACCCTACAGACCCCCACCCTACAGACCCCCACCTTACAGACCCCAGACCCCCACCCTACAGACCCCCACCTTACAGACCCCCACCCTACAGACCCCCACCTTACAGACCCCCACCCTACAGACCCCCACCTTACAGACCCCCACCCTACAGACCCCCACCTTACAGACCCCCACCCTACAGACCCCACCCTACAGACCCCCACCCTACAGACCCCCACCTTACAGACCCCCACCCTACAGACCCCCACCCTACAGACCCCACCCTACAGACCCCCACCCTACAGACCCCCACCCTACAGACCCCCACCTTACAGACCCCAGACCCCCACCTTACAGACCCCCACCTTACAGACCCCCACCCTACAGACCCCCACCTTACAGACCCCCACCCTACAGACCCCCACCTTACAGACCCCCACCCTACAGACACCCACCCTACAGACCCCCACCTTACAGACCCCCACCCTACAGACCCCCACCTTACAGACCCCCACCCTACAGACCCCCACCTTACAGACCCCAGACCCCCACCCTACAGACCCCCACCTTACAGACCCCCACCCTACAGACCCCCACCTTACAGACCCCCACCCTACAGACCCCCACCTTACAGACCCCCACCCTACAGACCCCCACCTTACAGACCCCCACCTTACAGACCCCCACCCTACAGACACCCACCCTACAGACCCCCACCTTACAGACCCCCACCCTACAGACCCCCACCTTACAGACTCCCACCCTACAGACCCCCACCTTACAGACCCCCACCCTACAGACCCCCACCTTACAGACCCCCACCCTACAGACCCCCACCTTACAGACCCCCACCCTACAGACCCCCACCTTACAGACCCCCACCCTACAGACCCCCACCCTACAGACCCCCACCTTACAGACCCCCACCCTACAGACCCCCACCTTACAGACCCCCACCCTACAGACCCCCACCTTACAGACCCCCACCTTACAGACCCCCACCCTACAGACCCCCACCCTACAGACCCCCACCCTACAGACCCCCACCCTACAGACCCCCACCCTACAGACCCCCACCCTACAGACCCCCACCCTACAGACCCCCACCCTACAGACCCCCACCCTACAGACCCCCACCTTACAGACCCCCACCCTACAGACCCCCACCCTACAGACCCCCACCTTACAGACCCCCACCCTACAGACCCCCACCTTACAGACCCCCACCCTACAGACCCCCACCTTACAGACCCCCACCTTACAGACCCCCACCCTACAGACCCCCACCTTACAGACCCCCACCTTACAGACCCCCACCCTACAGACCCCCACCCTACAGACCCCCACCCTACAGACCCCACCCTACAGACCCCCACCCTACAGACCCCCACCCTACAGACCCCCACCCTACAGACCCCCACCCTACAGACCCCCACCTTACAGACCCCCACCCTACAGACCCCCACCCTACAGACCCCACCCTACAGACCCCCACCTTACAGACCCCCACCTTACAGACCCCCACCTTACAGACCCCCACCCTACAGACCACAGACCCCCACCCTACAGACCCCCACCCTACAGACCCCCACCCTACAGACCACAGACCCCCACCCTACAGACCCCCACCCTACAGACCCCAGACCCCCACCCTACAGACCCCCACCTTACAGACCCCCACCTTACAGACCCCCACCCTACAGACCCCCACCCTACAGACCCCCACCCTACAGACCCCCACCTTACAGACCCCCACCCTACAGACCCCCACCCTACAGACCCCCACCCTACAGACCCCCACCCTACAGACCCCCACCCTACAGACCCCCACCCTACAGACCCCCACCCTACAGACCCCAGACCCCCACCCTACAGACCCCCACCATACAGACCCCCACCATACAGACCCCCACCCTACAGACCCCCACCCTACAGACCCCAGACCCCCACCTTACAGACCCCCACCCTACAGACCCCCACCTTACAGACCCCAGACCCCCACCTTACAGACCCCCACCCTACAGACCCCCACCCTACAGACCCCCACCCTACAGACCCCCACCCTACAGACCCCCACCTTACAGACCCCCACCCTACAGACCCCCACCCTACAGACCCCAGACCCCCACCCTACAGACCCCCACCTTACAGACCCCCACCTTACAGACCCCCACCCTACAGACCCCAGACCCCCACCCTACAGACCCCCACCCTACAGACCCCCACCTTACAGACCCCCACCTTACAGACCCCCACCCTACAGACCCCCACCCTACAGACCCCCACCTTACAGACCCCAGACCCCCACCTTACAGACCCCAGACCCCCACCCTACAGACCCCCACCTTACAGACCCCCACCTTACAGACCCCCACCCTACAGACCCCCACCTTACAGACCCCAGACCCCCACCTTACAGACCCCCACCTTACAGACCCCAGACTCCCACCCTACAGACCCCCACCCTACAGACCCCCACCTTACAGACCCCCACCCTACAGACCCCCACCCTACAGACCCCCACCTTACAGACCCCCACCTTACAGACCCCCACCCTACAGACCCCCACCCTACAGACCCCCACCCTACAGACCCCCACCTTACAGACCCCCACCTTACAGACCCCCACCCTACAGACCCCCACCCTACAGACCCCCACCTTACAGACCCCAGACCCCCACCCTACAGACCCCCACCTTACAGACCCCCACCCTACAGACCCCCACCTTACAGACCCCCACCCTACAGACCCCCACCTTACAGACCCCCACCCTACAGACCCCCACCTTACAGACCCCCACCCTACAGACCCCACCCTACAGACCCCCACCCTACAGACCCCCACCTTACAGACCCCCACCCTACAGACCCCCACCCTACAGACCCCACCCTACAGACCCCCACCCTACAGACCCCCACCCTACAGACCCCCACCTTACAGACCCAAGACCCCCACCTTACAGACCCCCACCTTACAGACCCCCACCCTACAGACCCCCAGCTTACAGACCCCCACCCTACAGACCCCCACCTTACAGACCCCAGACCCCCACCCTACAGACCCCCACCTTACAGACCCCCACCCTACAGACACCCACCCTACAGACCCCCACCTTACAGACCCCCACCCTACAGACCCCCACCTTACAGACTCCCACCCTACAGACCCCCACCTTACAGACCCCCACCCTACAGACCCCCACCTTACAGACCCCCACCCTACAGACCCCCACCTTACAGACCCCCACCCTACAGACCCCCACCTTACAGACCCCCACCCTACAGACCCCCACCCTACAGACCCCCACCTTACAGACCCCCACCCTACAGACCCCCACCTTACAGACCCCCACCCTACAGACCCCCACCTTACAGACCCCCACCTTACAGACCCCCACCCTACAGACCCCCACCCTACAGACCCCCACCCTACAGACCCCCACCCTACAGACCCCCACCCTACAGACCCCCACCCTACAGACCCCAGACCCCCACCCTACAGACCCCCACCCTACAGACCCCCACCCTACAGACCCCCACCTTACAGACCCCCACCCTACAGACCCCAGACCCCCACCCTACAGACCCCCACCCTACAGACCCCCACCCTACAGACCCCCACCCTACAGACCCCCACCCTACAGACCCCCACCCTTCAGACCCCAGACCCCCACCCTACAGACCCCCACCCTACAGACCCCCACCCTACAGACCCCCACCCTACAGACCCCCACCCTACAGACCCCCACCCTACAGACCCCCACCCTACAGACCCCACCCTACAGACCCCCACCTTACAGACCCCCACCCTACAGACCCCAGACCCCCACCCTACAGACCCCCACCCTACAGACCCCCACCCTACAGACCCCAGACCCCCACCCTACAGACCCCCACCCTACAGACCCCCACCCTACAGACCCCCACCTTACAGACCCCCACCCTACAGACCCCAGACCCCCACCCTACAGACCCCCACCTTACAGACCCCCACCCTACAGACCCCCACCCTACAGACCCCAGACCCCCACCCTACAGACCCCAGACCCCCACCCTACAGACCCCCACCCTACAGACCCCCACCCTACAGACCCCCACCTTACAGACCCCCACCCTACAGACCCCCACCCTACAGACCCCAGACCCCCACCCTACAGACCCCCACCTTACAGACCCCCACCCTACAGACCCCAGACCCCCACCCTACAGAACCCCACCTTACAGACCCCCACCCTACAGACCCCCACCCTACAGACCCCCACCCTACAGACCCCCACCCTTCAGACCCCAGACCCCCACCCTACAGACCCCCACCCTACAGACCCCAGACCCCCACCCTACAGACCCCAGACCCCCACCCTACAGACCCCCATCTTACAGACCCCAGACCCCCACCATACAGACCCCCACCCTACAGACCCCCACCCTACAGACCCCCACCCTACAGACCCCCACCTTACAGACCCCCACCCTACAGACCCCCACCCTACAGACCCCAGACCCCCACCTTACAGACCCCCACCCTACAGACCCCAGACCCCCACCCTACAGACCCCCACCTTACAGACCCCCACCTTACAGACCCCCACCCTACAGACCCCTGCCCTTACCGTCCACGTAGCGTGACGACCTCCTCGAAGTTTTTCTCCGCCATCTTCTCGCCAACCAACTTGGTCTGTGGGGTCAAAGGTCACCGGTTGGGTTAGTTTAGGGTTAGTTATAAGCCAAATGGGTTAGGGTTAGTTATAAGCCAAATGGGTTAGGGTTAGTTATAAGCCAAATGGGTTAGGGTTAGGTAACCTTGACCTCCCATCGGTAACTATAACCTGTCGCCTTGACCTCCCAGCCATGTCTCTAACCTTGACCTCCCAATTTTACCTTCTCCACGGCCTTCATGAGAGGCACGCGCACGATGTCATTTCCGTCCAGACAGATGACGCTGGCGGGGGAGTTGGGTGGGGTGTCAAGCAGGGCAAGCACAGCCTCGGCCCCCATCCGCGTGGCCTGGGGGGGGGGGGAGTGACAGAAGGTGTACATGTCAGTACAAGGTGTGTACATGTCAGTACAAGTTGTGTACATGTCAGGACGAGGTGTGTACATGTCAGGACGAGGTGTGTACATGACAGTACAAGGTGTGTACATGACAGTACAAGGTGTGTACATGACAGTACAAGGTGTGTACATGACAGGACAAGGTGTGTACATGACAGTACAAGGTGTGTACATGACAGTACAAGGTGTGTACATGTCAGGACGAGGCGTGTACATACAACAGAGCTGTACACATCGTATGTACATACAACAGAGCTGTACACATCGTCTCACCAGGATTCGGTCAAAAGCTGATGCGTTGCCTCCCCTCTGCACGTGGCCGAGAACTGTCACGCGCACGTCCATCTTCATCCGGTCAGTCAGGACCTGCATGACGTCATAAGGCATGTGACGTCACCATGTGGTCAACAGCAGTATCGTGACGTCGACTGGTTCTCGAGGGCTGTCAGCTGACACAATCACCCCCCCCCCCCCCCCCATTACTCAGTGAACGAATGACCCCCCCCCCCCCCGCAGTACACAGTGAACGAATGGACCCCCCCCCCCCACACACACACACGTGAATGTGTTGATGTAGTGAAGGCCTAGACTGTGGTCACGTGATGACATGTTGACTAGCCATGTTGGATGTTGTCCTCTGCTATTTTGGGGACAATTTTAAATTTTATGTTTGAAGCAGTTCGTTCATCAGGTTAGTACTGCAAGACCATATGTAACTATAACTTAGAGTTACATATATAGTATGTCACAGTGGTGTAGAGTTATTTTATAGTTGTATGTCACAGGTCACAGTGGTGTAGAGTTTGTAGATGGCTGTGTGCTGGTTAAACTCGGCGTCTGTGTCACCATGTGTTGTGTCACCCTGTGTTGTGTCACCCTGTGTTGTCACCTTGTGTTGTGTAGATGGTGACTTCACTTATGTCCCTACACGACCGTCCTTGTCCCATCACCAGTAATCCCACCCCACCCAACCTACCTATCCCCACCCCACCCTACATATCCCCACCCCACCTATCCACACCCCACCCCACCCCACCCCACCTATCCCCACCCCACCCTACCTATCCCCCCCCCCACTCACCTTCTGTACGTCCGTACACTTGATTTGATTACCTTCGGAGTCTATGGCCCCCTCAGCCACTAATATGATGTGTGTTCGACGAACTTCGCCACTTTTCGATTTCTAAAAAAACAAAACAACCCTATATTACTATGTTTCTTGTCACTAGGAATGTAACCCCCACACTGACCCCTTCACTAATCCACACACAGACCCCCACATAGACATCCACACTGACCCCTTCACTAATCCACACACAGACCCCCCACACAGACATCCACACTGACCCCTTCACTAATCCCCACACTGACCCCTTCACTAATCCCCACACAGACCCCTTCACTAATCCCCACACAGACCCCCACACAGACCCCTTCACAGACCCCCACACAGACCCCCCACACAGACCCCCACACAGACCCCCACACAGACCCCTTCACTATACCCACACAGACCTTGACACAGACCCCCCACACAGACCCCCACACAGACCCCCACACAGACCCCCACACTTACCTCCATCATTTGCTCACACAAGAGCTGTCTCCAGTCCCCCAGGGGCGGCTCCTCTGGTATAAAAATAAAAGTGGCCTCGCTCGATATGCCCGCAGCCAGGGGCAGGAACCTGGAGGTGGGGGGGGGAGGGGTGACAAGATGGTTTTCTTTGTACACACACTCACACAAATACCCAACATACATAACACCCAACACACTTAACACCCAAACCACCCCAAACACAGGAAGCCCACATTTACACACAGAAACTATCAACACATACGACACTCATACAACCCACACACACCCTTACCTTCAAACTTACACACGCACAACCTCACACTTACCTCCACACACTTACCCACACACACTTACCCACACATACGACACTCATACAACCCACACACCCTTACCTTCAAACTTACACACGCACAACCTCACACTTACCCCCACACACCCACACACACTTACCCACACACACTTACCCACACATACGACCCATGATCTCTAGGACGAAGGCGCGTTTGTGGCTGGAACAATTATTTAAAAAATGAGAAAACGACGAGATTTTTTTTTGTATGTGAGTGTGTGTGTGTGTGTGTGTGAGTCTGTACGTATGTGTGTATGTATGTTTGTATGTGTGCGTGTGTATCGCTGACGATGCCCACTCTGCCCCCCCCCCCCCACCTGACGGCTGTCGTCATGATGTTGTCCACCGCCTCTTGGATCCGGTGGAGCGCCGAGTCCACCCCGATGGTCATGTCCGTCCCACAGAAGTCGTTGTCGATAGATCCGACCAGACCCACAATGTTGATACTGCCGAACTGGGACAACTTGTCCTTGGTCAAGATCTCTGAAACACGGACACATTTGCTCAAGATCTCTGAAACACGGACACATTTGGTCAAGATCTCTGAAACACGGACACATTTGGTCAAGATCTCTGAAACACGGACACATTTGGTCAAGATCTCTGAAACACGGACACATTTGGTCAAGATCTCTGAAACACGGACACATTTGGTCAAGATCTCTGAAACACGGACACATTTGCTCAAGATCTCTGAAACACGGACACATTTGCTCAAGATATCTGAAACACGGACACATTTGGTCAAGATGTCTGAAACACGGACACATTTGGTCAAGATCTCTGAAACACGGACACATTTGCTCAAGATATCTGAAACACGGACACATTTGCTCAAGATCTCTGAAACACGGACACATTTGGTCAAGATCTCTGAAACACGGACACATTTGCTCAAGATATCTGAAACACGGACACATTTGGTCAAGATATCTGAAACACGGACACATTTGCTCAAGATATCTGAAACACGGACACATTTGGTCAAGATCTCTGAAACACGGACACATTTGGTCAAGATCTCTGAAACACGGACACATTTGGTCAAGATCTCTGAAACACGGACACATTTGCTCAAGATCTCTGAAACACGGACACATTTGGTCAAGATGTCTGAAACACGGACACATTTGGTCAAGATGTCTGAAACACGGACACATTTGGTCAAGATCTCTGAAACACGGACACATTTGGTCAAGATCTCTGAAACACGGACACATTTGGTCAAGATGTCTGAAACACGGACACATTTGGTCAAGATGTCTGAAACACGGACACATTTGGTCAAGATATCTGAAACACGGACACATTTGCTCAAGATCTCTGAAACACGGACACATTTGGTCAAGATCGTTGAAATACAGACACATTTGCTCAAGATCTCTGCAACACGGACACATTTGGTCAAGATCTCTGAAACACGGACACATTTGGTCAAGATCTCTAAAACACGGACACATTTGGTCAAGATCGTTGAAACACGGACACATTCGCTCAAGATCTTTGAAACACGGACACATTTGCTCAAGATCTTTGAAACACGGACACATTTGGTCAAGATCTCTGAAACACGGACACATTTGGTCAAGATCATTGAAACACGGCCACATTCGCTCAAGATCTTTGAAACACGGACAAATTTGGTCAAGATCTTTGAAACACGGACACATTTGGTCAAGATCTCTGAAACACGGACACATTTGGTCAAGATCGTTGAAACACGGCCACATTCGCTCAAGATCTTTGAAACACGGACACATTTGCTCAAGATCTTTGAAACACGGACAAATTTGGTCAAGATCTCTGAAACACGGACACATTTGGTCAAGATCTCTGAAACACGGACACATTTGCTCAAGATCTCTGAAACACGGACACATTTGGTCAAGATCTCTGATACACGGACACATTTGGTCAAGATCTCTGAAACACGGACACATTTGCTCAAGATCTCTGAAACACGGACACATTTGGTCAAGATCTCTGAAACACGGACACATTTGCTCAAGATCTCTGAAACACGGACACATTTGCTCAAGATATCTGAAACACGGACACATTTGGTCAAGATATCTGAAACACGGACACATTTGGTCAAGATATTTGAAGCACGGACACATTTGGTCAAGATCTCTGAAACACGGACACATTTGGTCAAGATCTCTGAAACACGGACACATTTGGTCAAGATATCTGAAACACGGACACATTTGGTCAAGATCTCTGAAACACGGACACATTTGGTCAAGATCTCTGAAACACGGACACATTTGGTCAAGATCTCTGAAACACGGACACATTTGGTCAAGATTTCTGAAACACGGACACAATTGCTCAAGATGTCTGAAACACGGACACATTTGGTCAAGATGTCTGAAACACGGACACATTTGGTCAAGATGTCTGAAACACGGACACATTTGGTCAAGATGTCTGAAACACGGACACATTGGTCAAGATGTCTGAAACACGGACACATTTGGTCAAGATGTCTGAAACACGGACACATTTGCTCAAGATCTCTGAAACACGGACACATTTGGTCAAGATCTCTGAAACACGGACACATTTGGTCAAGTTCTCTGAAACACGGACACATTTGCTCAAGACGTCTGAACCAAACAAAAAGATATAGTGACGTCACGACTGACCTTTGTCCACCAACTCCCTGACCAGGCTCGGCCACTCTTGACGGAAGAGGTCGGCTCCAGTCAGACTTCCGTCACCACCTGCACAAATAAACTTTCAACATGACTCATGACTTTTGACTCATGACTTTTGACTCATGACTTTTGACTCATGACTTTTGACTTGACTTAGAGAAAATTGGAATGTATCAAAACACGATGACGTACCTATAGCGATGAGGTTAGTGATGCCCCAATGGATGAGGTTCTGGGCAGCCTTCAGGCGGCCCCAGCGCTCCTTAAACTCCATGCATCTAGCGCTGCCAATAACGGTTCCACCCTGTGATGGGAAGGTGGGGGGGGGGAGGGGGTAGAAGTTTTTGGTCAAATTACTTGGTCATTCCATATCACCATATGTATGATGTTTGATGTTTTGTGTGATGTTACGCTACTCACCATATGTATGATGTTTGATGTGATGTCACACTACTCACCATATGTATGATGTTTGATGTTTTGTATGATGTCACACTACTCACCATATGTATGATGTTTGATGTGATGTCACTCTACTCACCATATGTATGATGTTTGATGTTTTGTGTGATGTCACTCTACTCACCATATGTTTGATGTTTGATGTTTTGTATGATGTCACACTACTCACCGTATGTATGATGTTTGATGTGATGTCACACTACTCACCATATGTATGATGTTTTGTATGATGTCACTACTCACCATATGTATGATGTTTGGTGTGATGTCACACTACTCACCATATGTATGATGTTTGATGTTGTGTGTGATGTCATTCTACTCACCATATGTTTGATGTTTTATGTTTTATGTGATGTCATTCTTCTCACCATATGTATGATGTTTGATGTTTGATGTGATGTCACTCTACTCACCATATGTATGATGTTTGATGTTTGATGTGATGTCACTCTACTTACCATATGTTTGATGTTTGATGTGATGTCACACTACTCACCATATGTATGATGTTTGATGTTTTGTATGATGTCACACTACTCACCATATGTATGATGTTGGGTGTGATGTCACGCTACTCACCATATGTTTGATGTTTTATGTTTTGTATGATGTCACACTACTAACCATATGTATGATGTTTTGTATGATGTCACACTACTCACTATATGTATGATGTTTTGTATGACGTCACACTACTCACCATGTGTTTGATGTTTGATTTTTTTTGTGATGTCACACTACTCACTATATGTATGATGTTTTGTATGATGTCACACTACTCACCATATGTATGATGTTTGGTGTAATGTCACTACTCACCATATGTATGATGTTTGGTGTGATGTCACACTACTCACCATATGTATGATGTTTTGTGTGATGTCACACTACTCACCATATGTATGATGTTTGATGTTTTGTGTGATGTCACACTACTCACCATATGTTTGATGTTTTATGTTTTGTGTGATGTCACTCTACTCACCATATGTTTGATGTTTGATGTTTTGTGTGATGTCACACTACTCACCATATGTATGATGTTTGATGTGATGCCACACTACTCACCATATGTATGATGTTTGATGTTGTGTGTGATGTCATTCTACTCACCATATGTATGATGTTTGATGTTTGATGTGATGTCACACTACTCACCATGTGTATGATGTTTGATGTGATGTCACACTACTCACCATATGTATGATGTTTGATGTTTTATGTGATGTCATTCTTCTCACCATATGTATGATGTTTGATGTTTTGTGTGATGTCACTCTACTCACCATATGTATGATGTTTGATGTGATGTCACTCTACTCACCATATGTATGATGTTTGATGTTTGATGTGATGTCACTCTACTCACCATATGTATGATGTTTTGTGTGATGTCACTCTACTCACCATATGTATGATGTTTGATGTGATGTCACTCTACTCACCATATGTATGATGTTTGATGTTTTGTATGATGTCACACTACTCACCATATGTATGATGTTTGATGTGATGTCACTCTACTCACCATATGTATGATGTTTGATGTTTGATGTGATGTCACACTACTCACCATATGTATGATGTTTGATGTGATGTCACTCTACTCACCATATGTATGATGTTTGATGTTTTGTATGATGTCACACTACTCACCATATGTATGATGTTTTGTGTGATGTCACACTACTCATCATATGTATGATGTTTGATGTTTTGTGTGATGTCACACTACTCACCATATGTTTGATGTTTTATGTTTTGTGTGATGTCACTCTACTCACCATATGTTTGATGTTTGATGTTTTGTGTGATGTCACACTACTCACCATATGTATGATGTTTGATGTGATGTCACACTACTCACCATATGTATGATGTTTGATGTTGTGTGTGATGTCATTCTACTCACCATATGTATGATGTTTGATGTTTGATGTGATGTCACACTACTCACCATGTGTATGATGTTTGATGTGAAGTCACACTAGTCACCATATGTATGATGTTTGATGTGATGTCACTCTACTCACCATATGTATGATGTTTGATGTTTTGTATGATGTCACACTACTCACCATATGTATGATGTTTGATGTGATGTCACTCTACTCACCATATGTATGATGTTTTATGTGATGTCACTCTACTCACCATATGTATGATGTTTGATGTTTTGTATGATGTCACACTACTCACCATATGTATGATGTTTGATGTGATGTCACTCTACTCACCATATGTATGATGTTTGATGTGATGTCACTCTACTCACCATATGTATGATGTTTGATGTTTTGTGTGATGTCACGCTACTCACCATATGTATGATGTTTGATGTGATGTCACACTACTCACCATATGTATGATGTTTGATGTTTGATGTGATGTCACTCTACTCACCATATGTATGATGTTTGATGTTTGATGTGATGTCACTCTACTCACCATATGTATGATGTTTGATGTTTTGTGTGATGTCACGCTACTCACCATATGTATGATGTTTGATGTGATGTCACACTACTCACCATATGTATGATGTTTGATGTTTGATGTGATGTCACGCTACTCACCATATGTATGATGTTTGATGTGATGTCACTCTACTCACCATATGTATGATGTTTGATGTTTTGTGTGATGTCACACTACTCACCATATGTATGATGTTTGATGTGATGTCACTCTACTCACCATATGTATGATGTTTGATGTTTGATGTGATGTCACTCTACTCACCATATGTATGATGTTTGATGTTTTGTGTGATGTTACGCTACTCACCATATGTATGATGTTTGATGTGATGTCACACTACTCACCATATGTATGATGTTTGATGTTTGATGTGATGTCACGCTACTCACCATATGTATGATGTTTGATGTGATGTCACTCTACTCACCATATGTATGATGTTTGATGTTTTGTGTGATGTCACACTACTCACCATATGTATGATGTTTGATGTGCTCTGCCAGGTCGCCTCCTGTATGTGCTCACCTCCATCCACCATCCCTTGATAACCCTGAACAAGAGTTTAACCACCCTCAACACAAGACTTGAACCTTACAAACTCCTGGACTGACTTAGCCAACACCTCAACTGACCCCAACACCTCAACTGACCCCAACACCTCAACTGACCCCAACACCTCAACTGACCCCAACACCTCAACTGACCCCAACACCTCAACTGACCCCAACACCTCAACTGACCCCCAACACCTCAACCGACCCCAACACCTCAACTCTAGCCACACTGACCAGTGTCCACATACCTCGTTGATGTAGTAGACCTTACAGCCGAGATACATGCCCACCCTCACTATGGCCCGTACCGCGGCGTTCATGCCTGCAGACAAAACTCAGCCGTTATTTGACCAGGTCGGGGTTGCAGGTGCTTTGGTTAACTGTGGCTAGAAATGTTCTCGACCTTCTACCCCAGGTAGTGTGTCACTCCAGTCTTTACTCAATGTGTCAACAGCAACTTTTGTTAACTAGTGAGACCCCCAGACAGTGAGACCCCAAGAAAGTGAGACCCCCAGAAAGTGAGACCCCTAGACAGTGAGACCCCAGACAGTGAGACCCCCATAAAATTAAACCCCCAGAAAGTGAGACACCCAGAAAGTGAGACCCGCAGAAAGTGAGACCACCATATTTAGTGAGACCCCCAGACAGTGAGACCTCCATATTTAGTGAGACCCCCAGACAGTGAGACCCCCAGACAGTGAGACCCCCAGACAGTGAGACCCCCAGACAGTGAGACCCCCAGACAGTGAGACCTCCATATTTAGTGAGACCCCCAGAAAGTGAGACCCGCAGAAAGTGAGACCACCATATTTAGTGAGACCCCCAGAAAGTGAGACCCGCAGAAAGTGAGACCACCATATTTAGTGAGACCCCCAGACAGTGAGACCCCCAGACAGTGAGACCCCCAGACAGTGAGACCCCCAGACAGTGAGACCCCCAGACAGTGAGACCCCCAGACAGTGAGACCCCCAGACAGTGAGACCCCCAGAGAGACCGCCTTACCCTGAGCGTCCCCCCCACTGGTGAAGACTCCGATCTTCTGGCCCGTCCACTTGCCCTGACAGATGGTGTCGCCCTCTAGAGAGCCCTGGATGAAGCTGGACACCGCCGTCATGCTGCGCTCGTCAAAACTGACATGACGACTCAACTTGGCCGAGTCCATGACCTTGACCTTGAGACCAAACAAAAATAACCTTGCTCGTTAAAGACTTTTTTCTACAGACCTCTGGTGTCAATAGGATCTAGACCAGTGGCGACACTAGAATCTAGACCAGTGGTGACACTAGGATCTAGACCAGTGGTGACACTAGGATCTAGACCAGTGGCGACACTAGAATCTAGACCAGTGGCGACACTAGAATCTAGACCAGTGGTGACACTAGGATCTAGACCAGTGGTGACACTAGGATCTAGACCAGTGGTGACACTAGGATCTAGACCAGTGGTGACACTAGGATCTAGACCAGTGGTGACACTAGAATCTAGACCAGTGGTGACACTAGAATCTAGACCAGTGGTAACACTAGGATCTAGACCAGTGGTGACACTAGGATCTAGACCAGTGGTGACACTAGGATCTAGACCAGTGGTGACACTATGATCTAGACCAGTGGTGAGACTAGAATCTAGACCAGTGGCGACACTAGAATCTAGACCAGTGGTGACACTAGGATCTAGACCTGTGGTGACATCTAAACCTACCTGTAACAGTTTCACACGTCATCTAAACCTACCTTTAACAGTTTCACACGTCATCTAAACCTACCTGTAACAGTTTCACACGTCATCTTAACTATTCTAAACCTACCTTTAACAGTTTCACACGTCATCTAAACCTACCTTTAACAGTTTCACACGTCATCTAAACCTACCTTTAACAGTTTCACACGTCATCTAAACTATTCTAAACCTACCTTTAACAGTTTCACACGTCATCTAAACTATTCTAAACCTACCTTTAACAGTTGCACACGTCATCTTAACTATTCTAAACCTACCTTTAACAGTTTCACACGTCATCTTAACTAATCTAAACCTACCTTTAACAGTTTCACACGTCATCTAAACCTACCTTTAATAATTTCACACGTCATCTAAACCTACCTTTAACAGTTTCACACGTCATCTTAACTATTCTAAACCTACCTTTAACAGTTTCACACGTCATCTAAACCTACCTTTAACAGTTTCACACATCATCTAAACCTACCTTTAACAGTTTCACACGTCATCTTAACTATTCTAAACCTACCTTTAACAGTTTCACACGTCATCTAAACCTACCTTTAACAGTTTCACACGTCATCTAAACCTACCTTTAACAGTTTCACACGTCATCTTAACTATTCTAAACCTACCTTTAACAGTTTCACACGTCATCTTAACTATTCTAAACCTACCTTTAACAGTTTCACACGTCATCTAAACCTACCTTTAACAGTTTCACACGTCATCTAAACCTACCTTTAACAGTTTCACACGTCATCTAAACCTACCTTTAACAGTTTCACGCGTCATCTTAACTATTCTAAACCTACCTTTAACAGTTTCACACGCCATCTAAACCTACCTGTAACAGTTGTCAATTTAAAAAAAAAATGTTTAGATTAGATTGTCTGTTTTGCAGAAAAATCAAAGCTGTACAGAAGAGATTTTCAATCAAATCACATCCTGTTTACAATGATCATTTATGTTTGAGAGTTTTTTGATTGCGTCATCTGTCATTGGTTTTTTTTTTACAGACTGGAGAGAACTATAACAAGAAGAAAAAATAAAAAGACTTCCTTTGAATATAATAAACGCCTATTTATGTAAGTATAAATAAAAAGACTTCCTTTGAATTTAATAAACGCCTATTTATGTAAGTAAAAATAAAAAGACTTCCTTTGAAAATATTAAACGCATATTTATACAAGTATAAATAATAAACCGGGAGTGATCTCCCCTAAACTTTCTCGAACATTCTTATATAAAACAACAGGGGATGGGAACTCGGGATATAGACATGATTTTTAATCCATTTTAAGTAGGCCCTACTTAAACTTTTCAAAATAGAATAAAATCTCGTAGAAAAAAGAACTGCACACCAAGTGAACGCTAAATAAAATGTGCATAATAGTGCGCAATGTTATTAGTACTTTATAAATTTACATTAGTTTTTTGAGAAATCGGAAATAGCGTAAATTACTACTTCCGGTCAACGGAAATTACTCAAAATTTGACAAAAGGTAGAGAATTAGATCTTTTACTTACATGTGAAATTTCATGTATCTATCTGAAATAGTACTCAAGTTATAGGCTTTTGAAAAATTCAAAGTAGAAAAAGTACCACTTCCGGTTATCGGAAATCGCTAAAAAGTTGATACGGATCTAAGATTTTAATAAAATACTTATATATGAAATTTCATAAACCTAGCTGTAACGGTACTCAAGTTATCGTGTTTACACACACACACACACACACAGACACACGGACAGAATTGGATAATCCAGTTTTTCCAACTCCATTACGTATAAAACGCCAAAGTTTTGATAAATCTGGATTTATAAATTTTGCCCGATTAAAATAAGTCCTATATATCCCGGATGTGATGAAGGACTGAGGAGTAAAACGGTAAAAACTGTCAAAATGTCATGTGATTTTTCTGCACGATTACAATACTTTCTCTATACTCTGGATACGAGAAAGTGGGCCGCTATTTGATGTAGAAGACGATGATAAAAGAGTTTCTTTCAGGCATCCCCCTCCCTCCACCGGAAATTTTAGTCCGCCCCCCCCCCCTAAAAAAATTCTAAGTGCCCCCCCCCCCCCTTTTTTTTCGGAGAAAAAAATCTGGAAGAAACACTGGATGATAAACATGCAGTATAGAGAGGAAAGTGTATGAATAAGATTCACTAATGTAACGGATAGTAGCGCCAGGCTAAGTTGTTAAGTAGGTCTCTAGAGAAGAGTCGTGCTGACCTATGTTTAATCAAATATCATCAACTCCCACAATCCTTTCCCCATCCTAAAAATCCAAGACTGAAGGGGATGTAATCAAGCTAAGATAATTTTGCGAACAAAATATTGAGTTATTTCCCTTTGCTCTCAGTGCATGCCTTCTCTGTCGCAAAGGTTGCTGTCAAAAAGGTTTTTGATGTCGTTAGAGGGGGGGGGGGGGGACCGCAACGGGCGACACCATTCAGGGGGTGACACCAAGGCGAAAAATCGTAAATTTTACACAGTAAAATTTTTTGTAGCCCGTTAAATAAATTTTTAATGAAATGAATTTTTAATGAAAGTTCAACTACAAAGGGACCGGGAAGAGGTAAATTTGCCAACTATAGAGGAGACAATGCTGTTTTTATAACCGACTATAGAGGAGACAATGCTGTTTTTATAACCGACTATAGAGGAGACAATGCTGTTTTTATAACCGACTATAGAGGAGACAATGCTGTTTTTATAACCGACTATAGAGAAGACAATGTTGTTTTTATAACCGACTATAGAGAAGACAATGTTGTTTTTATAACCGACTATGGATAAACATCGTTACTATTAACTGTGAAAAATTTCTAATGCCCCATTCCCTTAATGCCCTAATATTTGTAATGTCCCATTCCCTTAATGCCCTAATATTTGTAATGTCCCATTCCCTTAATGCCCTAATATTTCTTATGTCTCATTCCCTTAATGCCCTAATATTCCCAATGCTCCATTCCCTTAATGTCCAAATATTCCCAATGCTCCATTCCCTTAATGTCCTAATATTCCCAATGCTCCACTTCCTTTCATGTAACAAGCCATCCACAGCCTGGTGACGTCAGTCATGTGTCAGGCTAGTAGAGTGTCCACAGCGTCACCCTGTGACCCAGTGGTCAGGTGGCCTACACGCTGTCTCGCGAAACATAGAAAAGAAACCGTAAGACATGAACCTACAACTGGACACGAACCCACCTAAGACAAAAAAAACACTGAAAAAAAACCACACAAACACTCGACCAACGCGTGAAGTGCAGGGTGAAATTCGGCTTTTCTTCTGATACCTTTTTTCTGCACTGGCCTCTGTGAAAAACCTATCTGTAAAGGGCCGTGACTAGTGTGTTTACTAACCAGCAATACCCGGTATTGCCCAGGTTTAGGAAATATATTACTTTTCCAATTAATTGTCTATATGCAAATATGAACCTTTGAGAAATAAACACATAACCCTAAGCCTAACTCCAACTCTGAACTTTACACTAACCACAATCAACCAAACCACTAACACAAACGCAACACAAACGTAATCACAAACATAAACATAAACACAACGTAAACGCAAAAAAAAAACGCAAACATGAAAGCAAACACAAACGCAAACATAAAAACAAACACAAATTCAAATACACATAGAAACACAAACGCAAACCTAAACGCAAACAATAACTCAAAATAATGCAAATAAACGCAAACATAAACACAAACTTAAATGCAAACAATTGCAAAGTGCTCACAAGGCGCCAAATCGCACCATGCTGGGGCGCCGGTGGAACCGCCTGATTCAACTTAGTAAACGATTTTAGTACCACAACTTATGTATAGTCTTTTGCACTCACTTAAACGAACGTAGGCGCCATAGCTAACAAGGGAAGGCCCTGGGTGCCAAATAACGCCAGAGGACGTCCACATTGGATTCAGTTAAAGACTATAGAACTTGTAAGTTTATCGTTCTTTCTCGCGTTAATTCGTGTCTGGTTAGCCAGGGAGAGATAAAAGTTTTCGAACTAAATCAATTGTTGTGAACGGGGTTTCCCATTGATAACAAAAAACATGGCGGCTATTTGTTAGTAGGTCCCGCTTCAAGATTTCAAAATCATCAAACGTTTCAGAAATGCAACAACTGTAAAAACTTTCAACGCTGTTTTGTTCATATGGATGGGAACAAACACATGTGTATGCATTTTTGAATATAAAAGTTTTGTGTCGGTAAGTATATATATTGATTTTATTTCTTTTGTTGATAGTTTGTCCAAGGCTGCCTAGGGGACATTACTCTGACTCTACTCAGTCTTTGCTACGAGACTTAAGATTCCCAGACCTAGATCTAGTCTAGAATGAGATCTAGATTCTAGAATATACCAACTAAGATCTACATTGCTTTAATCTAGTTCTAAGAGTATAAGTTCATGAATTAGAATATATTAGAT